ATTACTGAAGTTGCTTTCCAGATCTAGGGGCCTTCTGGTGAAGCCTTTGGGATTTTCCAGATATAGAATCATATCACCTGTAAAGAGAAATAGTTTGACTTCTTCTTTTGCTGTTTCGATACCTTTCATTTCATTCTCTTTGTTGATTTCTCTGGTTAAGACTTCCAGAACTATGGTGAACAGGAGTGGTAAAAATGGGCATTCTTGTCTTGTTTCAGCTCTCAAGGGGAAATGGTTCTTGTGTTTGCCTGTTGAGTATGATGTTGGCTATGTGTTTGTCATAGAAAGCTCTTATTGTTTTGATGTATGTTCCTTTGATCCTTTGTTTCTTGACAGTTTAAACATGAAGGGATGTTGAACTTTATTGAACGCTTTCTCATCTTCTATAAAGATGAGTATAGGGTTTTATTTTTAATGCAGTTTATGTGCTGAAGCACATTAATTTGCATATGTTGAACCAAATTTGCATTTCAGGAATAAAGCCTACTTGACCATGATGAAGTAACTTTTTGATGTGCAATTGAATTCAGTTTGCTAGTATTTTGTTGAGGATTTTTATGTCTGTCTATGTTCATCAGTAATATTGGCCTGTAGTTTTCTTATTTAAATTGTGTTTTTGCAAGGTTTTATAATTAGGGTTTGTCAGCTTCATAGAATTAGTGAGAAAGCAGTTCCTCTTCCTCTATTGTTTGGAATAGTTTCAGTAGAAATGGTGCACACACTTCTTTGTACACCTGGCAATATTTAGCTGTGAATCTATCTGTTCAAGTTTTTTTTAATTGATAGATTTTTTTTTAATTACGGATTCAATTTCAGAACTCAACATTAGTCTGTTCAGGTTTTCAATTTATTCCTGATTCAATCTTGGGAGATTGTGTGTTTCCAGGAATGTATGCCTTTCCACTAGATTTTCTAGTTTGTGTTCGTAGAAGTGTTTGTAAGAGTCTCTGAGGATCTTTTGTATTTCTGTGGGATTGGTTATAATGTCACATTTGTCATTTCTGATCATACTTACTTAGATCTTATTTCTTTTTTTTTTTTTTTTGGTTAATATAGATAACTCTCCATCAGTCTTACTCATTCTTTCAAAAAACTAACTTTTAGTTATGTTGATGCTTCATGTAGATTTTTGTGTCTTAATTTTGTTTAACCCCATTACGAGTTTAGTGATTCTCTTCTGCTAGCTTTGGGGTTAGTTTGTTCTTGTTTTTCTAATTCCTCTATGTGTGATGGTAGATTATCAATTTGAAATTTTTCCAACTTTTTGATTTAGACATTTAATGCTGTAAACTTTCGTCTTAACATTGTTTTTGCTTTATCCCAGAGATTTTGGTATTTCTCTATTTTCATTTATTTTGTAGACTTTTAAATTTTTTATTTTAATTTTGTTGTTTACCCAGAGGTCATTTAGGGGTAAGTTGTTTAATTTCCATGTAATTGTGTGGTTTTGATAGATCTTTTTGGTGTTGATTTCTATTTCTATTCCCCTGTGGTCTAAGAGCATGGTTGGGATGATTTCAATTTTTTAAAAATTTATTGAGACTTGCTTTATAGCTTTGCATGCAGTTGATCTTGGACATGTTCCCTGTGTGGATGAGAAGAATGTACATTCTGTGGCTGATGGGTAGAGTATTATGTAGATGTCTATTAGGTCCAGTTGTTCAAGTGTCAAGTTTACGTCCAGAGTTTCTTTTAGTTTTCTACCATGATGATTTTTTGAGGCTGACTGGGGTGTTAAAGTTCCCCTACTATTGTTGTGTTCCTAAGCCTTTTCATAGGTGTAGAAGTACTTATATTTTGAATCTGAGTTCTCTAATGTTGGGTATATCTATATTTATGATAGGAAAGTCTTTTGTTGAATGGAACCTTTTATCATTATGCCATGGTCTTCTTTTTCCTTTATTTACTGCTGTTGGTTTAAAGTTTGTTTTATCTGATACAAGTATAGCAATCCCTGCTATTTTCTTGTTTTATGTTTGCATGGTAGGTGTTCCTCCAACCCTTTACTTTGAATCTGTGTGTTTCATTACATGTGTGATGGATCTCTTAAAGACAGCAGATTAATGAATGTTTTTTTTTAAATGCAACCTGAGACTCTGTGCCTTTTAAGTAGGGCATTTAGAATATTTAATTTCAAGATTAATATTAATATGTGAAGTTTTGATCTTATCATAAAGTTTTTAGCTGGCTGCTTTGTGGTTTCTACCATGTGATTGCCTTACAGGGTCTGTGGGTTATGCACTTCAGTGTGTTCTATTTCTTCTTCTTCTCCTTCTTTTTTTTTTTTTTAGACAGAATTTTACTTTCTTGTTCAGGCTAAGGTGCAGTGGTGTGATCTTGGCTAACTGCAATTCTCATGCCTCAGCTTCCTGAATAGCTGGGATTACAGGTGCCCACCACTACACCCAGCTGATTTTTTGTATTTTAGTAGAAATGGGGTTTCACCATCTTGCCCAGGCTGGTCTCGAACTCCTGAGCTCAGGCAATCCATCTGTCTCTGTCTCCCAAAATGCTAGGATTATAAGTGTGAGCCACCATGCCCGGCCGTTCAGTGTATTTTCTTTTGTGGCAGGTGCTGTTCCTTCATTTCAATGTTTAGAATTCCCTTAAGGATCTCTTTTATGGGTTTCTACTGATTACACATTCCCTCAGTGCTTGCTTGTCTGCAAAAAAAATTATTTCTCCTTCATGTATGAAGCTTAGCTGACAGCATATGAAATTCTTAGTTTAAATGTATTTTCTTTAAACAGGCTGAGAATAGGTTCCCAGTTGCTCCTGGTTTCTGCTAAGAAGTCTGATGTTTGTTGGTTGGGGCTCCCTTCATGCGTGATCTATCCTTTATTTTTTCAGCACTAAGCTTGGACAGTATGGGGAACATATACCTTGGTTATGTTCATTCTGTATAATATCTCATTGGTGCTCTCTGCATTTCTTGTATCTAAATGTTAGTCTCTATAGCAAGATTAGAGTCCTTTTTCCAATTTTTTTTCAAATATGTTTTCTAGGTTGTTTGCTGTTCCTCCTTCTCTCTCAGGAATGCCAATAATTTATAGGTTTGATTACTTGACATAATACCATATTTTTCAAACACTTTGTTGATTAAAAAAAAGGTATTCTTTTTTATCTGACTGGGTTATTTGTAAAGACCAGTCTTGAAGCTCTGAAATTCCCTGTTCAGTCTATTACTAAAGCTTCCAATTGTATTTTGAAGTACCTTATGTGAGTTGTTCAATTCCAGAAGCTCTGATTGATTTCTTTTTAAGATGTTTATCTCTTTCCTAATCTCCTGGATTGCTTTAGATGTTTCTTTATGTTGATTTTCAGCCAAGTCTTGGATCTCATTGAGCTTCCTTGCAATCTATGTTTTGAATTCATTATCTGTCATGTCTGAGTTTCCATTTTGGTTAGGGACCCTTGATGGAGAGCTAGTTAAATTCTTTTTGGTGTCACCACACTCAGAATCTTCATGGTACCAGATTTTTTACACTGGGTACTTCTCATCTGAAGATGATGGCACTTCTACTTTTTGCAGTTATTTTCATGTGAGTAAATTTTTATATTTTTAATCTTTCTTTCTCTATACTATTTTTTTCTTCCTCCTTATTGTCTCTTCCTACCAAGGGCTGTGTTTGCAGAGAATTCTGGGTAGGATCTTTTGGCTTTGCCTCTATAGCCCTATGCTTTTCTTCTGTTTTTGCAGCCCCATGGATGTTTTTTATAATGATATTTTTGTAACTGTATTCTTCTGTAACTTTGCATATAGGGCATGTAATTGCTACGTTCAAAAGTCAGTTTTTCTCTTCCACTTTCTCCGCATCTGCTATTCAGCAAATAAGTTAGATCAAGATTTGCTCAGTGGAATTTGTCATCTTGTGTAGTGGAAGAGAAAAGCAAAAATCCATGCAAGTACTCTGTGACCTAGTATCTCTCCACCACAACACTTATCAGAATACTACATAGGGTAGAGAGAGGGAATTCATATATATATATATATATTTTTTTTTTTTTTGACGGAGTTCCGCTCTTTTTATCCAGGCTGGAGGGCAATGGTGCAATCTCGGCTCACCGCAACCGCTGCCTCCTGGGTTCAGCCAACTCTCTTGCCTCAGCCTCCTGAGTAGCTGGGACTACAGGCACGTGCCACCATGCCCGGCTAATTTTTTGTATTTTTAGTAGAGATGGGGTTTCACCATGTTGACCAGGATGGTCTCGATCTCTTGACCTCGTGATCCACCCTCCTCGGCCTCCCAAAGTGCTGGGATTACAGGCTTGAGCCACCACACCTGGCCTGTTTTTTTTTTTTTAAGCCATAAACTAGTAGTAAATTGATGCCACTTGAAAATTATTTCCTTTAGGCATTGTTTCTTTTTGTCAACAAATGGAGACAGTGACAATAGGATTTATCATAATAGCAACAAAAAATGAACAAACAACTACAATACACTTAAAAACCTCCTACCCATTCCCAAAAAGTAAATATTTTAAATCTCTTTCTGTGTGTAAAATAGTTCAGAATTCAATAGAGTATGCTTCAGATTTTACCTATATTCTCAAAAAGTTCAGATGATCCCTAAGCTCCAATTTTTACATTATATTGACATAATTTAAATTGCAAATAATTTTGCAACAAAATAAAGTAAATTATGTACCAAGTAGCAAGAAGATTTTAATTTTAATAATGAACAATTTTCACTGTTTTCAAAATTCTATGAGGGCTTTACCATTTATGAAAAGGTTTCACTTGTGTGGTTACACAAAAAAGAATTTTGCGATCACATTTTCTTTTCAAAAATATGATACACCTGTAAAAGACCAAATACATGAGACATATTTAATTTGACTACTGAGAAGAAATATTTTTACTAGTCACTTTCTGCAGAGTCAAAAAGAATCATAAACATAAGAGTAGGTGAAAGTCCTCTTAGAAATGTTATCTCAAATAACTGAAAGAGGACATGACATCTGAATGCACATTTTCCTGTCTTTCTCATTATGGCACTCTGGTATGTATTGGATTATTACAATTAGATTTTTGTTTCCATTTGAGTAGACACAACGTTGATATCAATAATGTGTATATTTGCCAGAGACAGAAGAAAAATAACAGATAATGATTTTTTATTGTCAGGTGAATTACTGCAATATAACAACCAGATTACTTGTGTTAAAGTGACATCTCCTTAGGAGAAAATATATATTTCTCACAGCAAAAAACTTTTCTTCTTCTTTCTTTCATACCCATTGTGTTATTTCCTGTATAAATGAAATTTTAATGTTATATTTTTAAATTGGTAGAAAAAATATTTCAAAAGACAGTCTTATTTCTACCCATTATATACTTAGGAAAGAATTCATTTTCTGTTATTTATACCTCCAACAACAATGAAAATAGTTATGAGCATTGAAATATAATTGTTTTCATTCACTAGTCTTCTACTTCAGTTCAACTGTTACAGTTCAGTTCTCACAGTTTTGTTGCTACATCACTAGGCTTAACCAACTGGTCTTTACCATGTTAATTAGAGACCATATACACACCATTATCCTAAGATTTACTGAATTATCGGTCTTATTTACCAAAATTGAAACTGGAAGGTAATGTGTGATTGATTGTTCTTATTAAGTGCATTCTTTGGAAGTAGGAGAGGCATTCAGAAAATTTCACTGAACAGTACTGTACCAAAAACTTTTCATATTTTCTCTTGAAAGTTAATTTTATTATTTTTCCAAATGGACATCTGACATAGTAAAAGGAATAAAATAATTACATACGTATATATAATACATACATAAATGATAGAATATATAACATGTATATATGATAGATATATATGCATTATATTTATGTACCATATATGTGTGCAGATGCATTATATATATGCATCATAGATGCATTATTACATATATATTATATCTGTGTAATAATTTTATCTACATTCCCCAGTTTCTCCAAAAGTCAAGTGATATAAACTGGGCACTGGTTTCCAAGAGTCTGTGCAATGCAGGCCCATTATAAGACAAGTGACTGGGGAACAACTCAAAATAGTTTCAGCCATAGAATAAACCTAATAGGTTACAAAACTGAGAAAGAACATGGGTGGTTTTATTTTAATAGGATGGATTAAGAGACTGTACACAATATTTCAGACACTCTTGCTATCTTTAATCTGGGCTATTCCTGTATTCTCATTACCCAGTTTAAGAGACCAATAAGAGGGTGCAGCTTGGATGAGAGAAAAGTGACTGTAGGCCTCACCAGACATTTTTTTAGAAGGGAGATATGGCTACCAGATGCCTGGCTTTCCTTACTGTGTGGCATCATAGGCATGTTATGATTGTTTTTAAATTTTATATAAATGGAATCATTGACATTATTTGTCCTTTTTCTAAGTAATATGGTTTTTAAATGGACCTATGCTCTTGCATAGAATATGTATGTTAATTTTTACTCCTATATGCTTATATTAGTCTGTCCTCTCACTGCTGATAAAAACATACCTGAAACTGGGCAATTTACAAAAGGAAGAGACTTAACAGACTTCCAGTTCCACATGGTTGTGAAGGCCTCACATTACGGTGGAAGGCAAAGAGGGGCAAATCATGTGTTACACGGATGGCAGCAAGCAAAGAGAGAGAGCTTTTGCAGGGAAACTCCTCCTTATAAAATCATCACATCTTGTGAGATGTATTCACTATCATGAGAACAGCACAGAAAAGACCTGTCCCCATAATTCAAGGGCCTCCCCCAGGTTCCTACCACAACAGTGAGAATTCAAGATGAGATTTGGGTGGGTACAGTGACAAACCATAGCATTCCACCCCAGCCCCACCCAAATCTCATTCCATCACATTTCAAAACCACTCGTGCCTTCCCAATAGTCCCCCAAAGGCTTAACTCATTTCAGCATTAACTCAGAAGTCCATAGTCCAACATCTCATCTGAGACAAGGCAAGTCCCTTCAGCCTATGAGCCTGTAAAGTCAAAACCAAGTTAGTTACTTCCGAGATACAATGGGGATATAGGTGTTTGGTAAATACAGCCATTTCAAATGGGAGAAATTGGCTACAGGCCAACAGGGGGCTATAGGCCCCATGCAAGTTTGAAATTCTGCAGGACAGTCAAATACTAAAGCTCCAAAATGGTCTCCTTTGATTCCACGTCTCACATCCAGGTCATGCTGATTCAAGAGGTGACTTCCCATGGTCTTGGGCAGCTCCACCCCTGTAGCTTTGCAGGGATCAGTCTCCCTCTCGGCTGCTTTCATAGGCTGGTGTTGAGTGTCAGAGGCATTTCCAGGCACATGGCGCAAGCTGCCAATGGAGCTACTATTCTGGAGTATGGAGAATGGTGGCCCTCTTCTCACGGCTCCACTAGGCAATGCCTCAGTAGGGACTCTGTGCAAAGGACTCCATCCCCCATTTCTTTTCCATACTGCCCTAGCAGAGGTTCTCCATGAGGATCCCACCCCTGCAACAAATCTCTGCCTGGGAATCCAGGCATTTCCAAACATCTTCTGAAATCTAGGTGGAGGTTCCCAAAGCCCAAGTCTTGACTTCTGTGCACTCACAGGCTCAGCACCATTTGAAAGCTGCCAAGGCTTAGTAGGGCTTGCACTTTCTGAAGCCAAGGCCCATGCTCTGCATTGGGCCTTTTCAGCCATGGCTGCAGCAGCTGGGATGCAGGTCACCAAGTCCCTAGACTGCACACAGCATGCAGACCCTGGGCCCAGCCCAAGAAACCATCTTACCTCCTAGGCCTTTGAGTCTGTGATGGGAGGGGCTGCCATGAAGTCCTCTGTCATGCCTTTGAGACATTTTCCCCATTGTCTTGGGGATGAACATTCAGCTCCTTGTTACTTATGCAAATTTTTGCAGACAGATTGAATTTCTTCTCAGAAAATGGTATTTTCTTTTCTATAGCATCTTCAAGTTCCAGATTTTCAAACTTTTATGCTCTGCTTCGCTTATGAAACTGAATGCCTTTAACAGTACCCAAGTACCTCTTGAATGTTTTGCTGCTTAGGAATGTATTCTGCCAGATACCCTAAATCAACTCTGTCAAGTTTAAAGTTCCACAAATCTGCAGGGTAGGGGCCAAATGCCCCCAGTCTGTTTGCTAAAACATAACAAGAGTCACTTTTGCTCCAGTTCCCAACAAGTTCCTCATCTCCATCTGAGATCACCTCAGCCTAGATTTCATTGTCAATGTCATTATCAGCATTCTGGTCAAAGTCATTTAACAAGTCTATAGAAAGTTCAAGAGTGTCAAATTTTCCTGTATTCTTCTGAGCCCTCCAAACAGTTCCAACCTCTGCCTGTTACCCAGTTCCAAAGTCCCTTCCACATTTTCAGGTATCTTTTCAGCAGTGCCCCACTCTATTGGTAGCAGTTTAATGTATTAATATGTTCTCATTCTCCTGATAAAGATGTACCCAAGGCTGGGCAATTTACAAAACAAAGAGGTTTAATAGACATAGTTCCAGTGGCTGGGGGGGGCCTCACAATTATGATGGAAGGCAAGGAGGAACAAATCTCATCCTACATAGATGGCAGCAGAAAAAGAGAGAGCTTGTGCAGAGAAACTCCCCCTTAAGGAACCATCAGATCTTGTGAGATGTACTCATTATGAGAAGAGCAGAGAAAAGACGTGCCTTCATGATTCAGTTACCTCCCAAAAGGTCCATCCCACAACATGTAGGAATTCAAGATGGAATTTGGATGTGGACATGGCCAAGCCATATCAAATATCAATGTTATAACATTATATCAATATTCTGCATTATATTTAAGCTTTTCAGTTTGATACATTAGGTAGTTCCCAGATTTAGAATATTATGAAAAGCATTGTTATTAGTATAGCATTACTTTTTTTGGTGCGGTGTGGTAGACAGGAAAACATCCCACCAAGATCACTCTTCAAGGAAGACATCTATGCAAAGCTTCAGAGAACGCAGTCATTGAACAGACTCCAGTTGTCGATTCCTTCAAGATCTTCCTTTAGTGGAGAAAGTCACCTTGCCTAAAGCTCTAAAAGTTTGAAAATTTGGTTTGATGTGGTTCAAAGATGATGAGCAATTTCATCCCAGACATTCCCTCTGGGTCACAGAGGCTTTCTTGGTCCTGCAGTTTGCCTAATCTTGCTTGCTTTGTTCCCTTTTCCCTTACTGATGTTGATTCTTGAAAAGTATCCTGCACTCGAAGCTCTGACTCACTTCCTGGAGTGGTCCCAGGAAAAAAGGAACAAAATTTGGTGTGCCATACTCAAGGGTAAACTGGATCAAAAGAAACAAATCAAGGGATGGAAGTGAGAGTTTGTTGAATCATATAATTTTTTATAATGCTATATAATCAATAAAACGAATACCTGGGTCAGAAAACCAAGAGATAAAAGCAGAAGGAGTCCCTCTAAGCAACACTCTCAATGACATGCCGGGGAATTTATGCTTCCCATCTCTGCAACCCTGGGATATACAGGGATAGAGCTTCTTATCCTCAAATGTAGCACACTTCTACTGGAGACATAAGGAAATCAATTGAACTATAAACTATGGTTGCTCCCTAGGCATTTGGGATCTTTTGTTTTGTTTTGTTTTATCAACAACCAAAACCAGAAAACTGAGTGGTAGTTTTCAGTGGACTTCTGTTACACCGAAGGGCAAGGAGAACTCATGTGATCCATCTGAGCCTATTTCTTTGTCCACCATGGTTTACACAAACAGATATAGAGGCTTTGGTTTAAGAAGGTCATAGAGGTCAGAAACTCAAACCTCCCAAGGATGCAGGTCTCACCTCCAGGTAAACTGAGGTCAAACAGAGCTATTTGCTGATTGAAGACATATACAATGGTTAATGTCAGGAGGAGAAAATGTGTGTGTCAATTGTGGCCTTGACATTAACTGCTTCAGTTAGTTTCTTTTCTGTCAAATTTCCTCAAAAAAAAAAAAAAAAAGGAAAGAAAGAAATGCAAGTGGGAGTCCTGGAGAAGCTTTTCCCTGAAAATGTACAGGAGAACTTATACTACAAGAGATCAACTGCTGTAGGCAAGAAGACATGCCACTCAGCTCTCCTGTCAGTAACATTCTTGCTGCCTCCTGGAATCTCTCTTTCTTTCATTTCTTTATCTGTTTATCTATTCTCACACTGATTCCACAATATGGTATTTGTGTATTAAAATAAGATGTGAATTTTAGTAATATAAGTGCTCCAAGTTTGCTATACCTTTTTAAGATTATTGGGGCTACTTTGGACCCTTATATTTCCATATAAGGTTTAGAGAAAGTTTACCTGTGTATGTACATTAAAACAAACTCTGAGGAAATATTTTGTGAGGTGGTTGTGGGATTGCATGAATTTATAAGCATATTTTGGAAGAAATGTTGTCTTCAAATCTATATTTATGTGTAGGGCTCATAGACGTATTTATGCATTAACATCTCTCAGGAGTATGTTGTACTTTTCATCAGAGAAATTGTTCATATCTTTTGTTAGACATATTCATAGGTAATTAATTTTTTCATATGATTATAAATGGTATTATTTATAATTTTATTTTCTATAACTTTCTGAGATTTACAAATGCAATCGATTTTCTTTGTATTGCTCTTGTTTTTTCCAATATTATATTTATTTATTAAATTCTAATATTTGTATAGTGTACTAGTCCATTCTCAAACTGCTATAAAGAAATACCCAAGACAGGGTAATTTGTAAAGAAAAGAGGTTTAATTGACTTGCAGTTCCACATGGCTAGGGAGTCCTCAGGAAACTTACATTCATGATGGTAAGCACCTCTTAAAAGAGCTGTAGGTGAGGGAATGAGTGGAAGCAGGGGAAACGCCAGATGCTTATAAAACCATCAGATCTCATGAGACTAACTCATTATCAAGAGAATGGCATAGGGGAACCTGACCCCATGATTCAGTTACCTCATCTGGTCCTGCCCTTGACATGTGGGGACTACAATTCAAGGTGAGATTTAGGTGGAAACACAAAGCTGAACCACATCATATAGAATTTTTGTATTATTTTTATTCATATTATTTGGAATAAGGAAACACTGTCGTGATGTTTCTGAATATATTACATATTAAATTTTTGGGGTATTTTTGTGTTGTGCTATCTTAGATCACTGGCACAAATTTGAACAGAAGTGGTGAATGTGAGTATCAATCTATTTGTAGTGATAATTCATGATAGTTTTCTGTATAGATGCATTAAAAATGACATTTTAAAAAAATTTTCTTTGCTTTAGAAAGGTAATATTTGTTAAATTTCATTAAATGTTTTAACACATCAGTAAAGACAATCATACATATTTAATTTCTAATGTGGTGATGTAGAAAGATTAATTTTAATTCTACATTGTCTTTGCATTCGTGATTTATTAAACAGACATCTGTAATTTAATACTAATCTTATTTGTTTCTGGATTTTTATTTGCTAATGTTTTGTTTAATTTGTTTTTATGCATATAGATACACTCTATGTTCTTGTCAGATTTTGTTATCATAGTTCTACTGGCTTCACAAAATTAATTTTTAAATATTTTCCGTTTCTTAATTTTAGAAAAATGTGTGTAAAGTTGCTGTTATTTTGGTTTTAGCTATTAGGAAAAAATCACTGATTGGGTAATTTGGTTGTGGGATTTTGGAGGGGAAGATACTTAAAATGGGTTCAATTTCTTTAACTGGCATAATATAAGTTACGAGTTTTAAGTTGCCACACATTAAAAAGAACATAGGCACGATGTAGGCTGTGACAGCATCACTGGCTTATCACCCTCCTAAACTCTGGCATCACTGAACATGTCATTCTTCTAGATTTAGTGGCTCTTACCTGTAATTCCAGCATTTTGGGAGGCTGAGCCAGGCAGATCGCTTGAGCCCCAGAATTTGAGATCAGCTCGGGCAACATGGTTAAACCTTGTCTCTGCTGAAATAAAAGAATAAATGAATAAATACAGAAAAATTACCCAGGCATGCTGGCATGCACATGTAGTCCCAGCTACTCAGGAGGCTGAGGATTGTTTGAGCTCAGGAGATGGAAGTTGTAATGAGCTAAGATTGCACCACTTCACTCTACCCTTGGCGAAAGAGATATACCTTGTCTCAAAAAAAATTCTAATTTTTCAGTTTTCTTATTTATCAAATACCAAGAATTAGAATTGAGAATATTTATAGGATTTTAAAATGAAAATATGATAGTGAGTTGAATGATACATCTCATCAAATGTGTTCAACTGAAACCTCTTACTTAGAATGTGAGTCTTTGCAGATATAATAAGGATCTGAAGAACGGTTTATCCAAGATTTAACCAGACCCTAAATCTAATGATAAGTTTCCTCATAAGAGACAGAAAAGAAGACAAACATATAGAGAGAACCAGTGATTGTGAGGATGGACACAGCAACTGTAGCAATGTGTCTCAGCAGGGAATGCTACACATTCCAGGAAACTACCAGAAAGTAGGAAAGAAGCATACACAGATTCTCCCTCAAAACCACCAGGAGAAAGTCATTCTTATTTCAGGAGGCATCTGACCTCCTGAACTGGGAGACAATAAATTTCTATTGTCTTAAGCCACAGAGTTTTTGGTAATTTGTTATAGCAGCCCTAGGAAACTAAAACATGACCCTCCATGTATGGATGATAAAAGACAAAGTAACTTTAAGCTTCTAGTACATTGAAAAAGTGTGATTAGTTTTTTTCCACCCAGTTGTCTTTTGACAAATCCCTAAAGGCATTTTATCTGTTCTTTCCTTCCATAGAGAAGCTATTTGCTTTGGAGGAGAGTTTGTTTTCTCACAAAGAATCCATTGAACATATAAGCCTCTGGTCCTTTTTTTAATCCACAGGAGACTCAGAAGATGATTTTGCCATGACTAAGACCCTGCAGATGAAAGAAACAAATGCCTCTTAAATTCTTATATTGTGTCTTTAAACAATTGAAATGCTTTGACAATTGACCTATACCGCAAATTCTGTTTACCACCCTTGATTTGATTGATCAGTAAATAAAGCCAGAGCCAACCTCTGTGCCTTTGCTTACTTAGAAGACCTCAATATAATCCTTGACCATTCACAAATAAAATAATGGTGGGGATTGAAATAATTTTTAATAGGTAAAAATTTTCATTTTACAGAATAGTCCTGGCTTCAGGCACACAGATGACTTGTTTGATTATTCATGTTACATACTGCAATTATATAAATAAACCCAGTAAATTCTGTTTAATTATTTTTTTAAAGTGGCCTGGAATAAAATCTTCTCTGTTTCAGAACATCTTCTCTTTATTATCTCAGAGTAGCATTCGAATTTTTGATCATTCTGCCTGTTTATAATTCATCAGTGATGGTTCCACAGTCATCATTTATGTGTACATACAAGTGTACAATTCTGGCATGTACACTTTTATTAACTGAAATTACATGCACCCCATAGAAAAAGCAAACTTGAACCTAATGAACTCTAGGATGTTTTGAATATTTTTTGTACAATCAAGTGCATGTGTATATGTTCATTTTGCTGGTCCAGGGGTTATCTGAACCTCAAAGGCAGAGAATCTCAATAATACTAGATGCAGTCTGAGATCAGAAGCATAGTCTTTGATACTGAGATTTCAGGTGGAGCAGACACAGTGTCGGACTTTGTTAAGATCAAACCAGAGAAGATGTCCCAAGACAATTGGGACCATACATCCTAGAGGCAGAAAACTGTTACCCTACATATATACACCCTATCATCGTCTCTACCACCACCATGATAGTAATATTCTGAATTCTGTAATTATGTTGATGGGAAGTACTTAAATCACGCATTTACCTTGTGTATCATGATATGTGCGCTTTGCACAAATCTTTAAATCTTCTATTTTCCAAATGGTCATAGTTCTGAAGTGAGAATCATGTAATCTGTTAGGTGAATGTAATTATTACTGACTTGCACAACTAGTAAATATGGACAATGTAAATACCAAAATAAAAAAATGATAACACAAATTCTATAATGTCAAAGAGAAACAGAGAAGAAATAGGACATGACTATTTCCTATGTCCTTGAGTGCAAAATGCTCTCATTCATCACAAATATTTGAAGTACAGTATTAACCACTAATATTGAAGTACAAATGTGAGGTAAAGTTTGTGGTTTGAGAAAAAGCAAACAACAAAAACAATGAAACAATCTTTTGATGTCTATGCATGTGTCTTGGTCTGTTTTTGGCTATCACAATCAAACACCTAAGACTAATTTAGAA